CTCTCTCTCTCTCTCTCTCTCTCTCTCTCTCTCTCTCTCTCTCTCTCTCTCTCTTCGGATTCCGCTTCTGGCTATCAGACACTTTTCCTGATCCTTCAGGAGGCTGTTGTCTAGAACGGTGATCTGTAAGTTTTTCTTTTTAAATAAATAACCCTTTTATTAATCTTAATTCCAAGTTTGCGTGGGATTGCTTTGTTTTGTGATTTACTCCATTATCTGTGTGATTTCTTTCTAACTTAATGACTGCGGGAACCGGCAGGACAGAAACCTCAGTCAACAGAATGCTGTGCTGAAGTGGGGCTAATCAAATCCAATTAAAAGCCTGAGAGAGCTTGGTAAGTTGTTCTAGATAGAAAAGAATAGAGTGAAACATGGCTTCTTGGTAGCAGCGCTTTCTCAGGTGAGCTCTGCAGGCTAGAGGCAAACATTCTCATTTTAGAGAGGTTTTCTGACTCAGCTTTTGCAGTTCTTTTAAGAGGTCCTGCCACGAAACACTTAAATAGTGTTGATGAAAAGCTGACTGCATACTTTTTGGTGGTGGCAGGGACCCTGAAACACCATAGAGTTGTGGCAATAAACATGGTTCTGGCCAGTACCCCTGCCATGAGGCTAGACTCTCAGAAAAAAGCTAAGGAATGGGCTAGATCCAGTCATCAAATCCATGACTTTAATCCTAGTCATATTGTTTAGTAAGTTAAAGACTCATGTGGTCAGAAAAAGAGAGAGAGATAGTAAAGATAGATTCAAAGTTGAAGAAAACCTCTAAACAGTTTACTGTGTGTTTAAAAATATATGTAGGCTTGGGAGAAAAAAGGATTAAATTATTAAAAGAAAAAAGAAAAAAATAGAGTAGTTGGATGTGGTGGCATACACCTTTAATCCCAGCACTTGGGAGTCAGAGATAGGTAAATCTCTGGGAGTTCAAGGACAGCCTGTCTCCAGAGTGAGTAGCAGGACAGCCAAACATACAGAGAATCCCTATGAAACTCAAGAAACCAAAAAGTAAAAATAAAAATAAAAGAAATAGAGTTTAAAATAAAGTCACATAATGATGGAAAATACACAGAGAATTTGGACACTCTATGTTATTGTGTTGTCTTTGAATTGTTTGATGTCTGAGGAAGGAACAACAGCTGCTAAATGACAGTTGCTTATAAATGATGTTGTGTCAATCAAACACATATATTTTGAAAATGCCTTGATTTTAAAATTTAAGTTAAGACATTATAAACAGAATTTTTAAATATTCAAAAGAGAAGAAATATATGTGGACCATTTATCTATTGGGAAATTTACATCTTAGAAATTAAAAAAAAACCAATAACTTAGTGGAGAAAAATTAAGGGTCAGTGAAGTGGTTCACTGTGATGACGGCTGCCAAGCTTGATGACCTTGAATACAGTCCCTGAAACGCAAATGGTGGAGAAATCAGCTCTTCTCCATTGTCCTCTGACCTCCATGTCCTTGGTGTAGGACACACATGCTCACACACATACACATACTAGATAAATTAATAAATAATCTTGGAGAGAAAAAAAAATCCATCTTAAAATGAGAAAATGGGTTATACAGACACTTCATAAACCGTCCAATGAAATGTGATTTATTTTTCTTAGCTATCTTATCGAAACGAAGAAAGAATGTAAGTTTGAGTGAGGATGTGGATGTATTGGAGCCCTTGTGTTGTGCTGGTGAGAATATAAAATAGCACAGTAAAGTTTGAGACAGGACAGCAGCTCCTCAAACAATTAACACAATGGGCTATGATTTGACAACTCTAGCTTTCTACCTTAAAGAGAAAAATGCAGAGCTCAAACAGATGGACTTTCAGGCTCAGCAGCATAGTTCATAGTAGCCAAAAATGACAGAGAGCCACAATGAATGGGAAGCAACCTGGCATATTCTGCCGTACAGAACCTAAGGAATCCCCATATGTGCCATGCTTAGAGGAACCCTGAGGACATTACACTAATGGAAAGAAGACAGCCAAAAGAAACAAAACCCATATCAAAACAACAGCAGAACATAGATACTTATGTGACTCCAATTCAGGGTTCCCACGTTAGTCATGTTCAATGACAGAAAATAAAATGGTTGATGCCAGGAATCAGGAGAGAGTAGTGTGGAGTGTCTTCTTTCAGAAATGCAGGATCCCATTCAAAAAGATGAAAAATTACCTACATATCAAGTGTGATGATAGTCACATAACATGAAGCTACTCCATAAAATAAAACTGGTAAAATGTGAAATGTGTGGTGTGTGTAGTTTCATACTATCTACACACAAACATATGTGAAAAAGTGAGTTCTTCCATTCACCCTTCAGTGTACGCTCTACAACATAATAGAACATGACTCTGTTCTTATCATGAATTACAATTCTTGATGTATTTATATAAGCTTGATCAAAGTAACAGCATTTTTTCAATTTCTTACCTGCCCTGGACGGCAGTGCAATCATTCTGTAGGACATGGAAAACTGTACCCAAAACGAGAGCCACTATGGCTGTGATAGTTGCCTTTCAAAAAAAAAAAATACAGGGAAGACTTTCCATTAGAGGAAAGTAGTATTCTACACACTGCTCATTATTTTAAGATATATGGTTTCCTGATCAGATCTCTCCAGTGAGATAAACACTGTATTTTAACCAGAATTCCTAGAAGTATATAAAACACATGTGCTACCAGACTGCTTGTATGTTAAACTGAAAATGCAGTTCTTTGCAATCTGAGGCTCCAACAGTGCAGACCCTGGAAAAGCTAAGACTTCTCCCAGTGCTCTAGCAGGAATGGACAGTGAAGGGCTCAGTTCAGGAACTAAAACCTGGATGACACCGGGTGGGAGAGAATGCAGGCGCCTGGGGAGCTCTGGGAACAAACCCAGGTAAGTGACAGAAAGTCTTCACCTAAACTGAAGTCTCAGCTCTGGTGCCAGCGAACATGTGCAGTTTTCTACTTCAAGTGGCTCAAACTAATTCAGGCTTTCTTTACTCTTAGAGTTAGAAACAAGTGCACCCCGGGCCAGGGGGACAGAGCCCTCACAACACACAGTAATGCTAATCCCCTCAGGTGCAAACCAAATAACAAAATTAAAAATGACTCACAACACAGTTCCTAACAATGGATTTTGTGTGGTAAGAAGAGGTGTGAGGTGGTCCTCACCTGTGTCACCTCTGGGAAGTCTGTGCCTGCGTGGGAACCAGCACTATTGCTCTCACCAAAGTGATCATACAGTGTTCTCTGGGTCCCTTGATGCTCCCCTTGACTATCATATCAGTCATTGCTGCTCCATCAACCTTAATCAGACCACGCTGGGCTCAAGTCGCATCTAAGCTGCCAGCTCCTCCAGACCTTCATCTTCTCCATCTACTCAGTCTGTGCACACAGTCACCAGTAGCCTGCACTGCTTTGCTTTGTTTTGGGTTAAAATGGCTTTAAATGGTGCTTCACTTAGTAAAGGAGCAAGACTACAAGATGCTGCAACTTATTTGAAAGATTCCATTACTGTTCTGATAATGTTTTAGAAGTAGAATATTATGATCTAAGGAAAGCACTCTACCATGTAACTTGATAAATTAGAAATCAAAATCCCAGGGCTTGGAGATAAGGCTCAGCAGTTAAGAGCACTTGCTGCTCTTTCAGAGAACATGGGATTCAGTTCCCAGCACCCTAATGATCCTTCACTACCATATGTAGCTCCAGCTTCAGAAGATCTGATGCCTTCATTTGGCCACCATGGGCATGCACATGACGAAAAGTTAAACATACAGGCAAAATACTCATATATAAAAATAAATAAATAAATAAAAATTGAAAAAAATTAGTCTTCAAATTCTAATTGCAATTGCTAAAACACACACACAGACATAAACACATACACTACTTACCTTATGATACTGCCTCAGTATTAAACAATGAGTAATCTGTTTAATGAATGTAACTCACCCATTTCCAACTCATATCAATTTTTTGTTGTCAAAAAATGGGACATAAAAATGCTCCCCTTTAATGACACAAAAGCCCAAGTATAAAGAACAAAGTATTTGGAGCAGTTGACAGTATAACTCAAATGGTCAGAATATTCACATACACATAGGGAAGAAATCAACATTAAAATATGAGAAGGGAAGCTCACATGTTAAGAAGTAAGTGGTGTTCATTAAAGTCAACAGCACATGACCTTTCAGTATTCAACAGAAACTAAATGCCTGAGAAAAAACCAACAGCACACTTACAACAGAACTGACTATAAATTCTGGTTGGACAGGGATAGGGATGTAGGTCACAGTAGAGTGATTGCCCTCTAATGGTCATGGTCTGGTCCAGGATCAAACACTAACACGGCAAAATAATCATCATCATAAAATAAAAAATAACTGAATAAGCGGTGGTCCAATGAGCTGGAAGAACCACATTTATGTGTGACATTAGGTTAAAATAACAAAATTTTAAGTCATGATAATCCTTGTTACAGAGCCAGTTTAAAGAAAAGTAGAACTTCACCTCCTCCCAGTTCCAGGTGGCTGACAGGGAAGAGCATTGTTCATCCAGTTACTCTGTGTGTGTGTGTGTGTGTGTGTGTGTGAGCTGCACTCTTTGAGTAGCTACTGCTTTCACACACTGGACTCCTGATGAGGGAACAACACTCTGCAGCGGGCTCATCTCAGGCAGTTGATGCTCAGGCAGAGCTGTTCTGTGGCCCTGTCTCCTCACCACATGATTTCAAGCACAGACCAACCGTCTTTTCCTTCTCCAGTCATCTCCACCCTTCTCTACTTAAACCTTCTCCAAGTCCATTCCCTCATCTGACAGGCTACAGTTTTATCTGTTTATCCGGTTACCATCCATCCCCTCACAAGGAAAATTACATCAGAAAAAGTCTTTTCCTCCTTGACTCATTCCTAGATTTCGAACTTGTAGGATGCACTGATGAAATAAAGCAGACAGGTGTGAGGAACTCCAAGGTGTGCTGAGTTTCTTGTTTTCATTCCTTGAATTAAGGTTTCTACTTGGATTACTCATTACAGTTCCTGTTAATAAAAAGCAACCACTGAAAATGTTTTCATGAGTAAAAACTTAATAGTGGTCTACTTGTTTTATTGAATATTTCTCTATGCCAAAGACATGGAAGGAAGCAGAAGATAAGTGTGTCCTTGCAGTAAACTGACTCAGAAACACATTGCTTCCATGTGAGTTTTTCACAATACAATTAAAATAACTCATCAGATTACCTTTATTATAATGATCCGTGGAAAACCCTTGATATTTTTAAGTGAACGGTGGATAATCCATCCAAGCTGATACCAGAAAGGGGTGACACATGTGATCGCCTCTGAGACTGATCTCCTCCCTGCATTCTGTTTCCCCAAGAGTGGATCCAGTTCAGTTCTCATTTTGCTGTATTCGGAGGACTGGGCATACATATTGGCTAAGTTTTCTGTGACTTGGTGCTGTCTCTCGGAAAGGTCTTTATCTTTCTCGATTTTGGGATAAAGGGGAATAAAGACAAGAAACAGACAATAATTTAACTGATTTTTCTGAGACACTTTTCATGAATAACATAAATTATGTGTCAATTTTTCTTCGAGACCGCCTCATGTACCTAGACAGTCTGTAAAGTTGCTATGAAAGTTGAAGGTGACCTTAAACTTCTCCAGGTCCTGTTTCTGTCTCAAGTGCTGCAATTACAGGCATGAATCTTCACACTCTGCTATGTGCTGCTAGGTACCTAATTCAAGACTTTGTGTGTGCTAGGTAAGCACTCTCCCAACTGAGCTACATCTTCAACCCATCATGTTTTGAGAATAAAAATATTACTCTTGCACAATTCTTTACAGATTAGAAAAGTGACTGGACTACTGTCATTATCCCATAGATACAACAAACCGAATGACTGGTTTTTCCAAACCAGACCCCAATTCTTAAAGTCCTCCTTCTCTTATGGATCTATATTTTTTTAATATAAAAGTCTGTTTTCTGCTATTTGCTTCAAGTGAATATATATGCAAATGTATATGCAAATATATAAATTATCAAGCATCAAATGCTATAAACAAAGGCAGGTATAGTGACATAGTTCTGTAATACCTACACTTGGCAGGTGAGGAAGAAAGAGCACACTTAAGGCCAGTCTTTCTGTGTAAGCACACCCTATCTAAAACAGTAGAAAGAATAATTTGACAATAGGTATATTTATTTTTAAACCAAGATTTCCCTTGTGACGATATCATACAAATGTTCTTTTGTAAATTAAAATTAAAAATCACCCAACACTAACTAATACCAATGTCCATTAGCTAATTTTAGGACAGTTAATTAATATAAAAATTATATTCTAATGAGACACATGGTTTTGTTTTAATGAAATCAGTTAGACAAAAATTTGTGACTCTAGAAAAGTCACGTACCATCATGGCCGTCTTCCTCTGTGTCTAATAGAGCAGAGAAACTTCCGTTAATGATGTCCAGGAAAAAGTCTGCAGGGTTGTTGTGAGAATCATAGTTGTAACCTACAAAAAAGACAGACCAAGATCACAAATGTGAGGACCCTCTTCCAAAGCGTAGGAAAGTTTGGGGAGACAGAATCTAAGAATTTCTGTTTTTTTCTCTTCCTCCACTACTTATCATTTCCTATTATATACACACTTACACTAGTGTAACAATATCTGCTTCACAGTCTCTATTGTGTACAATACGTATCATATACATATGTTTTTGGTCATAGACCTAGACTATACATAGGCATAGACATGTGAAATCTTCCTGTGAAAGAATCATTTGAATTAGGCCTAAATTTTTATTGGACTCCATAGATGCACAAATTTTCACAAATTTTTAAATGACAAAAATTAAGCAATAACAAAGAACAATGGACAGCAAATATTTTAATTTATATTTGTAGTCAGAGACAATCATCCATAAATGCATCCACATTTCTCTAAGATGAAATTGATTACATGAACCATTAAAAATATTTTATCATCCAATCTGAGTGTGAAAAAGCCAGGCAGACCAAAAACATGAATTCACAGAAGCAAGACTTGAGCCCCCTAAGCATTGCCTAAACCTGAAATGCAAAGTTACTACTAAGTTAAGTAAGGTCTCCACACCTCCTCAGAATCAGGACACTAGGGAAAAGCTAAAAACCACCTTTTGCTATGTGAGCCTGAATACGATGATGTTGGGCCTTTTCAAAGCTGCTCTAGTGATGGATAACTGGGCCTGAGGCCAACAAGTTAATTAAGAGGTCACCACACTGAGAAGCAGAACAAGAGGCTCAGTAAAAATCCTATGACACAGGCATGATACAGGACAGGAGAAAGGAAGGAGACCTGCATAGCAAGCCTGTGCTGCACAATAACAGAATCCTGTCACCAAATTAACCAAAGGTAACTAAAATGGAGAAGCCCAAACACAGTAAGCCTGCATGAGGACCAAGCAGCATTCCTAAGAACCCCTGTTCTGATCCAGATCCCGTGAATGAAGGAGCTCTCACAGCAAAGCCAGCCATACCTGCGGATTTGAAGTACTCCAAAGCCTCCTGCGCAGGCCCGTGAAACATGACTTTTCCTGAGGCCACTAAGGTGAGGCTGTCAAACAGTCTGAAGATGGGGTACGGGGGCTGATTAATGGAGAAGATGATGGTCCGTCCCCTCCTAGACATCCTAAGGTTAAAGAGAGGAAAAGTCACTGGACGGCAGAATTTTGAGATTCTTCACAAAATATTTTGTTCCTGAAATTATACTCTCTGTTTCCATTTCAGCTTGAATTTTCCTAAAAATACCTCATCTCACTTGCACTTTGCACCTGATAGAGAAACCAACCTAAAGCTTTTATTTAAAGGACTATGAGTCCCAATGTGGGGGAATTCAGTAGTTCACTCTAGAGTTATTATGGAGATCCCTGGGTGGTCTTCTCAGACACTGTACCGAAGTACCTGGGAGTCAGTGCAGAGAATCCATTCATGAACAGGCTGCCCAGATGACTGACAACATCACTCAGGCTTGAGAACCAGTGACAGAGCAAACACTACAGCTGTGACTGTAAGCACAATTCCCCTCAATCACACACCAGCCTCTTCAGGAACTGGTTTTCACTGTTCTATGATATGACTCACATTCCTAACCACTTGCTCTACTGCTAAACACTTCATCAATAATCTCATTTCAACTTTCACAATATCAGCATGAGGTGATTCTCTCTCTCTCTTGATAAGGTTTAAAGGGTCTAGCAATGGAACAAGCGATCAGTTGGAGAGGGTCAATCCTGGGATTTGATCATTGGTTTAATTTCATGACAGGAAAAAATAAGCTGAACTACCATATCAGAAACTCTGTATGAGCACCAATAACCAAAAACAGTGCTTAAAGATGGTGTAAAATTTTTTCTATAAAAGCAGTGTATGGTGGCATTCTGTAATATCCCAGCACTTGGGAGGATCTGTAGTTCAAGGCCCACCTAGGTTATATGAGACCCTGTTTCAAAAAGACAAAGAGAAAGGATGAATGAAATAGAGGATGAGGGAAAGAGGGAGTTGGGAGGGAAGGTAGGAAATAATAAAGGAAGAAAGAACTGAAAAAAGGAAGGGAGAAAATAAGGAAGGGGGAACATAGAAAGGAGGGAGAGAGGGAAGAATGAAAGAAAAGATGGAGGAGGAGAAGGAAAAGAGAATGAGAGAGCTGAACATGGTAGTGTATAGCTTGAGTTCCACCAGGACAACTGGTTTGTAAAGACAAGATAAGGACAGAATAATGGGTATAATAACTGATTGTTTTTCTTGGGAGATGATTAATAAGCCACAAAAGGAAAACTGTAACTTCATATCATATAACATAGCAAACACCAACATGACTAGATGAATCAAGATTCAAGACAGTAAAGCAAGATGACTCAATGAGTAAAGAGGAACTTAACACCAGACCTAAAGACCCGAGTTCAGTCCCCCAAACCCACTTGGTAGAAGGACAAAACCAACTCCTTGAGTTCTCCTCTAACCTCTCCAGCAATGTTACACATGTACACAGACACACACAACTCACAAACACATAATAAAAATATAAGTTTGAAACAACATTCTCCCACTAGGATTCACTTCCAGGAGCCCCAGGAGAACACAGCATATCAAGGCCTGAGTCTGCTCCCAGACACTGTGATAAAACGCACTAAGGATGACCCCATGCAATGCACTAAGACTAGCGATGGCAAGAAACGCAGGGACAGAGAGAAGCATTTCATACTGGAAAATGAAGAAGAGCTTTATCTTAGAGAATATCCTTAAGCAGACAGGAAAAGGGACAGACAGGGAAGATGTGATACCTGAATAGTCTACAAGCTAGAAGGTGGCAAGTCCCAGTTGTTGGCTTCCTCACTGGAAAGGTGCAATGAGGGAGGGATCTTGGTTATTGGAGGGACAGACAGGAGTGTTTAGTGGGATGGACCATGATGTCAGAACAAAGCAAAGAACAAGGGGAAGGAAGGAAAACAGAGAGTACATAAAGTTCAACAGTTGGTAGTTCAGGTTATAGAAATGGGATAGTCCTTACATGGTTCTTGGGATAATTTAGTTAGATTGAAATTTTATTAATTTCTAAAGTGTGCGAAACCTAATGCCTACACTTTTTTCTATAAATATTTCAGTCACAGACTCACTTCATGAGAGAAAGAATGGCAATTTCTTTTATTTCATTCTTCCCCAGGTTCAGGATCCAGATCTTAGGAATCATTCCTTCAGCCCTGACATCCAAGGCTAATCCCAGAGATAATCCAATTTATGAAATATTCAAAGCTACCATGAATGCACCAACAAACTATTTGCTAGCTAAGGAAACCCTACATGTCAGCCTCCTGCTGACATTTTACATCCCCATTGTGCAGCTGCAGAATCTTCTCCTTGATGCATTGCTCTACTCTAAACTCAGAAGCTTTTCCACATCCCCTGCAATGAAAAACCTTAGTACTTACAGTGTCCCAGGGGGTCTAGGCAATCTAAGTCAACCAACCAAACCCCTCACTTTAACTAGGAATGTGGAGTACTGAACTGTATCCTTCTAAAGACTCATTTGTTGAAGACTTCACATATAAGAAAATAAAATGTGGATATAATTGGAAATAGAGGTTTTGAAAAGGTAATTAACTTTAAATGAAATTACTAGGGTGTCCTAAGGTAACATGTGTTACATATCTTTCCTTATGCTCTTTTCTCATTGCTCTTGATGTGTATTCCTTGTTAACTTAAATTTCCTTATAATAAACAAGAACAAATTCTATTACTTACATCTGAATCTCCTGTACCAAAAATACACACAAGCAACCAGTTATTAAGTGAATAAAACTCTATTTTTCTATGGTACTTACATTTTCAGGACCGAGATGACATCAGTAGTAGTGCTCAAGTCTAAGCCAGTGGTGGGATCATCCAAGAACAAAATGGGATGCTCGGTGACCAGCTCCATGGCTATACTGGTCCTTTTACTGAGCTCTTTAGATCTAGGCTAAAGCAATGATGACCAGCATTATCAATAAGAACATTCAAGGTCATGGTCATTTGGAGAATGAGCTTGTTCAAGCAATAAAAGATTTTGTTATATAATTATCCTGAGGAACAAAATGATGGGCACCTGGGAGAAGAAGGAAGTTTTACTTTTCCAAGTAAGTAGAAAGAAGCAGAGGTCAGACTTGACATGAAGCCCATGCCAATGACAGTTACTGTTTGTTTTTTATCAAGTCACATATTCTAGGGTGATGATTTATCACAATCAAAGGCTGACACAGTGAAGTCTATGTTTAAGGAATGAGCAAGATGCGACAGGAGAAGAAGTATATCTAGTAATTTAGTAGTTATTTCACACTCTCCCAAGAAACACAAGACATACGCAATCTGTACAACACAACATCAATACTATACAACACATATAAATGCACACATACTACACAACACATACAAAATACAACACACTGACACACAGGAACACATACAACACACCAATGCACAGGCACACGCAGACACACACTGTTTTTATTTTAAGAAAAACTTCACATTGCCTTATTAGGAACTTTTTAACTCCTTTAAGATTTTTCAAATTGACATTATTTACACTTCACAGGATCAAAGAATTCATGACTCGTCCTCATAGAGAAATCCAAAAGGTGGTATAGTTTACAGGTCAAACTGGCACCATACCAGTCAACGTCATTGAGTAAGGTGAGGGAATAGCAAGGATTGTGGGGGCACAGAACTAGGGAACAATTCTCTTCAAACATGATAACCAAAACCTTGAGCAAGTCCTACTGGAAACATACAACAAAGGAGGTTTGGAGAATGTGGATAAATGTGGTCATGACAAAGCTGAGGCTATAAGTGAATCATTAACTGATAGTTAAGAATAGAGTTTATAATAGAGTTTATAGGTAAGCAGATGCCCTTATTTTTATGAATGAAAAGTAAGTAAGTACTCAGGAGTAAGGAACTATCTAATGTTCTGTTAAAATGCTGCAGTGAGGAACATCTTGAGTGAGTCTGCTGCTGTAAACACTAAGAGTCTCAGGAGAGTGGTATTATCAAGTGTACTATTATGTTGGTTATACAATAGTCAATGCTTTACAGTATCCAGATATTCTCTCTACATTTCTTAAATCAAAATACTATGAAAGACTGAAGAGAACTCTTAGCAAAGAAAAGTACTTGCCACACACCTAAAGCCTGAGTTCAATCCCTGGAACTCACATATAAAGCTGCATGCAGTGGAATGCATCTGTAATCCCAACAAGAGGTAATTACAAAAAGATGGGAGGTAGATCAGGACCCTCCTGTGTAGGGTACCAGAAGAACAAGACAGACCCTCCTTAGAAACAAAGTGGGAGGTTAGAACAGACCTGTGACAAAGATGTCCCGTGATGTTCATGTGTGTGTTACATCATTCAAGCAGACACACAAACACAAGCACACACACATACGCACACACACACACATGTTGCCAGAGGCTGCTCAAACAATTTGGTGCCAACATGGTCAACTACATCCACATAAAATCTGAGAAACCTTGAAAAGAAACTCTAGACACACACACACAAAAGAAACCAGAGTTTAACACAGCTTCTTGCTCTGTTTCCTGGATGAAAGCAGAGATGTGGCTTTAGCAGTAAAAAATGTGCAGCTTCTTTATAAAATGGTGGCTTTCTGATTTGCCAGCACAACTAGCTCTGACTCTTTTTGGGAGGTCTGGTTACGGAACATTTAAATGGGACTTTTGAGCAGACAACTTGCTTAATGACAACATATACCTGCTGTGTGCCTGAAAATGGGGCAATGTGCATGGCTTTCAGAGGCAGTGAACATGCCTCAGCCATGTAGAACTGGGGAAGCCAACAGATAGGACCTCAGAGTTGGTCCTAGTCACACCTGCTTAGCATTTAAAAAAAGAACTCCTGGTCAGAAAATAATTACAGATATGTAATAAAGACAGATTTAGACAGATATAGACCTCTAAGTGTTGAATAAATTTACATAGGCTTGGTGGAGAGAAGAAAAAGAATGTAGACAGCTATAGAAGGAAGTAGATGGTTTAAAAAAATAAAACAAAATCTTTCAAGAGCCAGAGTACAGACAATAATAGATTAAAGGAGTAAAGATAAAAAAAATAAATATTTAAAAAGTAATAGAATAAAAGCAAATAACCCACTTAAAGATGGAATATACACAGAGAGTCTGGATTATATATTATTGTATTTTCTTTGAATTTTGACTGTAAAGGAGCTAAGTACAGAGAGAAATTTCATTGTATGGGCTGCTAAACTAAACCAACAAATATATTTTAAAGGCATCTTGACTTCAAAATTTGGCTCTAAAATTTGCAGCTTTGAAAGCAAGGTTCTTCCTCTGTTTCCACAGAGGATGAGATTCTGTGAATTTCTTCCTGACTAATGTGGTTTAATGGACACCCTCAATTGTCTCTGTAAATGACCAAAATTACTTTGCCCAACAAAAAGCAGGAAGCAGTTTGGAGAAAACTATGCCCAAATTCTCTAAATGATTATTTTTAAATGTTTGTTTACATTTAAAGGGGGATTTGCTTTAGAGATGGATACTTTGCATTGGTATGGATCTCTGTCTATCAATACAAATTTAAGGTCGATATTATTATACATACAGATTTCTGCTCTTGATTAAAGAATTGTGCTCGTGCAGCTCATTTAAAAATTTAATGTATAATTAAGAAATACAGGTTAATAGATGATCATTTATAATAGTCAACAGTAGTCATGTTAGGTTTTCTAGATATACAGAGATATATTTCAGATGGAGTATTCTTCAAACCTTTCAAAGACTAAAAATGTGGCATTTAAAATATTTTAAGAACTTAGGACTTTACATGAAAATGAGACACATCTGTTCCTGGCAGCACCAATATACTTCAAGAGGATGATGGGCATCAAAAAGGCTTCTTATGGAGTTTGCTAGCCATTTGGGCAAGAACCTGTTCTTGCCTGGACTGCTTGATGTTATGCTATATGAAGCGGACATGCAAGACCCACAGGAAAATAACTGTTGAACCTGTCTAAATGTGAGATGGTCCTTCATGGTTCCTGCTTCATAACAGAATCTACCAGACATTCTGAAGGAAGCAGAAGAAAGCAAGTGATGGACTTTGCCATTACAAGGCAGAACAGATCTTTGGATTTCTTGTTTCATGGAAAAGTCTTCTGGATACTATGGGCCTGTAGGCTGAAGAACGTATGCCCCAATGTTAAAGAAGAACTTTGGGTGACTGTTCAGGCAGTGAGATGTCTCTGTCAATTCTAGAGTTTTAGAAGTTGCTTACAATGCACTTCCAAGTTAACTTAGGTAATATTATATCCTTTTGGAGTCTTTGATGGAGTTAAAGAATATATAGTTATAGTTTTTCTTAGTTATGATAAAAGATAAAGTAGATATAAATATTGTAATTATAATTTTTGCTTGATAACTGTTTTGTTGTTTGTTATCTTGCTATGTTAAAGTTAAAATTTTCTTCTTTATTTAGATGGGAAAGGGGAAGTGGTGAGGGAAGTCCTTCTGTATTTGTGTTGCTTTTATTGATTAGTAAATAAAATCGCTTTCGGCCAATGGCTTAACAGAGTAAAGCTGTGGTGGGGGTGGGGGGCAAATCTGAACAGAGATGTAGAGAGAGAGTAGGGAGAAGCCATGTAGCCACTGCAGAAGACAGAAGCTTCTGCAGGAACCTGATGGTAGGCCACAACCTCATGGTGATGTGCAGATTAATGGAGATGGGTTAGTTTTGAATCTAAGAGCTAGCTAGAAATAACTTAAGCTATTGGCCAAACAGTATTGCAAATAATATAGATTCTGTGTGATTATTTTGAGTCAGAGAAGCCAGAAATGAATGAATAGTTTCTGGCAACACACACACAAACACACAATACAAGCATGCACATGTGTACACCAATTTTTGAAAGTTGTCATTAAGAAATTATATTAAAATTCTTGCAATCTATTACATTGCATGAATTTCAAGAAGTTAATAAATATCTTTGTATGTTGTCACTTATAAAACAAGTAAGCAACTGAGAACAATGACTAACTATTGGTAAAAAATAAAACAAAAATGACCTTATTATAAACATAAAACCATGTAAATAAATAGAGCAAAGCACACAAAATTCCATCACTCAAGAAAAAAGAAAGTGTGATAAATGTCAATTTTTCTATTATTTTTCTCAACAAGACAAACATCATAAACAACTATGGAGAAGGATTGTGGTAATCAATAGCCAATACCTTTTTATTCCTCATTGCCTCTAAGAAGGAGACACTACAGGAATTAATTTACGAGAATCCTGTTCTGAGGAGCTCATTTTCATCCATATCTGCAAATGTCTGCTCAGCAGACATCTCTATATAATCTTCTCAATCACCTGATGTCATGGCGAGGGGCAAGACAGTTTGGAGGACACAAGAAAAAGAAAACAACCCTAATGTAGAAAAACTCAAAGCATATAATAAATTAAATGCCCTGACAAGGTTCTTTAAACAATGAAATAATAAAAAAAACACTTGGGAATTACAAATGATTATAGATCAGACAGGGCTAAGGATATCAAGAATTTGTTCACTTTGATAGTTAAGAATGGAATTGCTAAAATAAAGAAATGTCCTTATTTTATGGATAAAAATGAGGAATTCAGAGATGAAATACTATAAATATTCTTTTTAATGTCAGCAAAAAATTAGTAAGCTATTACAACAGTCAGCTGTGAAGCTCACCAATTTTCTGTTACCTTTCCACATCCTGTAAGATGTGGAAGAGTCCCTTGATCCATTGATTTGCACCACTTGCACGTGATTGTATCTATAAAACCTTCCAGACAGTCTGAAGATAAATATTAGCAGAAGATAAGGAAGCAGGGAGCAAGGGCAGAGTGTACCCTAGTTTCTGTACAGCTGATAAGATAAAAAGTAAACAAAGAGCAAAGTGTTTTGTTTCAGCACACAGTTCAAAAGTAGAGTAGACCATTGCAGGGAAATCAAGGCAGGAAGCTGATGCAGCTAGGCACATCCAGTCAAGAGCACAGAGAGGATGAATACATGCATGCCTGTCAGTGCTCAACTCACTAAATCCAAAGAACAGCACTGCATGCAGTGGGCTGAGTCTTTCCACATGGCTTAACCTAACCAAGAACCACCTACAGAAATGCCCACAAGTCAACCTGACTACAATTCCTCATTGAGACTCTCTTCTAGATGATTCTAATTCTAGACTGTGTCAAGTTGATAGTTAAAACTGGGCACCACAGACAGGATGAGATAAAAAAACACACACACACACAAAAAGAAAGACTACAGAAGATAGCAAGCACTACACAAGTGAGAACTAAAAGCTAAAGAGACCAAGGACAATCCTAGAGTGGGATAAATGCAGAGTGAACACAGAGCCAGAGTTCTCCATCACATGTCCTGTGTCTGTCCAGAAGCACATTCTGAAACAACAAGGGACAAGTCCTCTAGGGGAAGAGATAATAAGCAGAAGAAAGCACTTGTCCAATTCTCTTAAGTCAAGAGTTTAAGGGTGAGGGACAGGAGGCTCATGTGAGGAGCACTTGGAAATGACCACGTGAGGAAAACTCTTCCCTGCTAGATCACACTGTATTACCAGGTTTAACCATTGCTAAGGTTTCCCAGCTCAGTTTCCACCTTACTTCATGTAACCAGTTACTTACTCATTAATGCAGAAGGCAGCCTCCTTGACCACACATATTATAGGAAACTGCTGATAGAATGTCATATTATTCACACATGGATTTATCTCTCTCTGTCTCTCCCTCCCTCCCTCCCTTCCTCCTATTCTCCCTCTCTCTTTGCCTCTCACTCTCTCTCTCATTTACATTTTTAGCTCTGAGTCTTTCAAGACTTTTCTTAACATTACCTTAACATTGGACTCTTTATCCAGATGCAGAAGTTCAAGGACCTCATTAATTCGCCTTCTTTTTTCATCTCTTGTCATAGTCATCGGCAGTCGAAGAGCTGCTGAGAACTCTACGTTTTCTCTCACAGTCAGCGTGTGCATCACCACGTCATTCTTAAAGTTAAAAGGAAGTTTAAATTTAATTATGGGTAGTTACCAATAAATCACTCTAATATATGTAACCTAGTCACATATAATAAATACAAACTTAATGTTTTACTTAAAAATATTAATTTTTAGTTTTTAGTAATTTCAAATACAGAAGCTGATATGCTCATTTTTACCCCCTTTCATTTGACTTCCAAGTAGAGCACAGGGATTTTGGTGATGGCTACCTGCAATTATTTTGCAGAGAACATATAAGCCATGGAGAAAGCTGAAGGAAAGGCAAAATCGGACAACAGTAGTCCTTTTGTAGAATTAAATCACACTGGCAATTACCAATACTGTACTGCAGATGTCATACTCCAATCTCTCCATCATCTTCCTACTTAATAATGCCATCCCCAGGCTAATGAGTCTTTGTGAAAAGCCAGTGTAGAGAAAGTAGGGCCTTAATGTGTCATATGATGAACTGGAAACACACAATTCTATGAGCTGAGCATCCAACCACATAGAATCAGGGGAAATCTAAAATTATAAACCCACCAACACTTACTTGTGGCACATAACCAGAAGTACATGTGAGATTAGCAGGTCGAGGTTTTCCACTTATCAAAATATCTCCCGATAATCCTCGTGGGTCTTTCCTTGCAGCTAAGACATCTAGTAACCTACAAGGAATACATATGTTGTGTGGGTTACTTCCTCCCTTCAGTAACAGCTATCGGCTTTCAGATACTCAAAATAAAATTAATTAATTCTGAATTAATCTGCTTATCAAAAGGCCAAAAAACACCCTCCCCCCTCTCTCTCTTTATCTCTCTCTGTTCATTATGTGCTGTAATACAGCCCAGAATTATGAATATAGGACATGATTGACCTGACCTCCCTTCCCTGTTATCTGACCTTGAGGACTCAAACAGGTAATGTGCTGCTGTAGTTTGAGAATTAGGCCTGGTGATGTTTACTCTTTTCCACAAAACTTCTACTTAATCTTCTTAATTTTAATACTGTCTTGACACATTAAATAATAATAACCCATCACCACATGCCAATCACTCTGTTATTTCCTAGAAGTAAAGTGACCTAGTAAGGCTCTTGGTATAAAATTAGAATGCACCCTCCTGCACGTTATCCCCACACATGGGACCACACTCACACGTACACCCTCACATATACACTCACACAGTACTTAGATAACTCCTATAGGAGTGATGTTTACAGCCCAGAAACTGGATACAACGGGCTTTGTATGCTTTCCATTATACTCACAAAGATCTGCTCCCATCTTGAGGTCCCATAATTGCATTGAGGCCAGGTTTCATGATCCCACTGTAAGCACAAAATCTTACTTATTAATTTTTCTATTAAAAAGAAGTTATAACAGTTTAGGTTTTATACTGAATATGCAGTTAAATTTGGGAAAAATTGTGCACAGAATATAATTACAAACTCATAAATTTAAAGTATTAATAGGGGCTTATTATTTACAAAAGACGTTAATTGCTATTGGAAACTCATCAGAAAATTGCCTCAGAAGTAGCAAAACCACCTTTATTTATTATTTAAGACTTTGTCTTTATTGAAACATGGTGCATCTAAGTTCAGTGTCCTTGAAGCAAGTGACAGGTTCTCAGGAGGACTCCGTTACACACACAGCCTTTATGTGTCAAGTACATAACAGCTTCTTGCTAATGTTTGATGATCCATATCTTCTTATAGCCCTGCTTGTTGCCTCATAAACTTCATCACAAAAAAAATCAATCATTCATGGCATTTAAATAGCAGTGCCATTACTGTTAGAAAAGAATCAAACTAAAATCAATACATCTCAATTAGAAATCCAAAGACTAGAAAGAAACACACAGAGGACAGGAGAGTGTTGCCAAGTTAACACTCAAAAACAAAACAAAACCCCATCCCAAAAAGACAACAAACGAATTGAAAAATAAAAATAAACAAACCCACAGACAAACAAACAAAAAACAAAGTTAATCAAAATGAAAAATCTAATAAACACTCACAAAATGATGATTTCCCTGAACTATAAAGAAATAAGCATCCACTCAGTTTATATTTGGGAGACATCCGTCATATAGAGGACACGACTTACCGATGGGCAGGTGCAGCACAAACACAGGTTGTGTCCAAAAGCAGAGTAGTGAATGTTCAGACTGAAAAAGCCATATTCCTATATTCTTATAGAAAATATAGCTCGCTCCCATTTGTTATTTCATAGCCAGACAATGTATCAATCCTTTGCTCTGCCCATTTCCCTTTTAGTAAGAAAATGATGGAAGTTGTAGGCAGAGGAACAGAAATGACCAGTGCCAAAGAACAGAGGCAATGGTTGGGGTCAAGGGGAAGAGTCTATGCAGACTGCATGGGGAAAATCTTGGTATGTGTGCTCTGTACTCAGAATTGGTTGGAAACATGGCTTCTCTATGTCATGGAACCAAGTATGAAATGTTGGTTTTTGTTCTTTTAACACTTAATGAATTTTGAGCAAATAATTGAGGACCCAGACTTTCTGCTGTTGGGACTTCCTCATTGCTTCCATCTCATCACTGGTAACTGACCCAGTCAGCCTGGTCTAAACGCTCAGTTCAGTTTAGGGAGGGGATGTTGGAATGGGACAATGCTGTATTCTGTCAAGTATGTTTGAAATAAATGCTGATTGGCCAGTAGCCAGGCTGAAAATATAGGCAGGACAACCTGACAGGAAGTAGAGGCAGGGCAATGAAAACAGGTCCTGCCCAAATCACGGAAGAAGCAGGATGTGACCTGCCCTGCCAAAAAAGGTACAGAGTCATGTAGCTAACATACATAAGAATAATGGGTTAATATAAGTTATGAGAGCTAATACAAAGCCTGAGCTAGTGGACCAATCAGTTTATCATTAATATAGTACTCTGTGTGATTTTCTTTGGGACTTGCTGACTGTGGGAACTGGGCAGGACAGAAACCTCAACAAGCAGGCCCTCATGTTACAGGAATTAAAATTTCAATATTCTTCCATCATACCTTGAATTTAACTTGTGTCTTTGATATTATGTTTCCATATCAAATTATAGAATTAAAATAATGTCTTGAGGGTTTTTTCATAAGATGCCTATGGGTTTATCAAACATGTTTGTATTTTTAAAGAACCAAATTTTGTGTCATCAATCCATTATGTTGTTCTCTTAATTTCCACCTCAGTAATTTCACTGTCATTATGAATCTATCTATACGTATGACAAGGTGAGGCTGGTGAATGTTGCATTGCATGAAGCATTTGCTGAGGGAGGGTGAGAACCTATGTTAAACCCCCAGAGTCCATATAAACTTGGGTACAGTGATGGGCATCTGTAATTCCATGCTCTATGGAGAAATTAGAGACAGAAACAGGAGAATCCCAGGACACTTACAGGCTGATAGCCTGACATAACTATCAGTGAACAATGAGATACTCTGTCTGCAACATGGTTGAAGGTGAACACCAATGCTCAAGGTTGCCCTATGATGTACTTGTGCCATGTATGTGTCATAGCAAACACACATCTTATGTCTGAACACACACACACATACACACTTATACAAACACATAAACAGATATATACACATACACAAACACACAAAAATACTCACAGAGATTATTGATAATAGAGAAAGTTTGTGTTTGTTCAAAAAGTTGCTCAATATACTGATCTATTAAGTTCATGCACATACCTGATATTTGATAGTCTTTCTATCATACATGTCTTTTTACAAAATGCAAAACCACTTTGCACTATTTCTTGGTAGTTGATGTTATGAAAACTTAACACAGCCTCTTCAGTCAATGTGTTCTGGTCACTGGTGTCCATTTCAGGAGGGTCACTGGGATTTCTTTCTATCATTGGGATTGTAACAGGGTCAATATTGGAAGACATCTCCAGAGGGTCTTCCTTCCTGCAAAAGGAACAGAAATTGTATATGATAGTCCACACAAATGACATTATTGGATAGCACAGCACACTAAAGGGTTGTTTTAATCTGTGCAATTACAGAGAGATCACTTCCTAATGAACAGTAAATTTGGCTGTGATTACTGAAAGACCCAATGAGAAGCAGACATGAGGACATAGACTCCCCTTAGATACCAAATTACTAAGAAAGAAATGAGTCCTAAGGAGCAGAGCATAAATGTTATTCATGATTCATAAAAGAAGAAGGAGAGAGATGAGGGGGCAGATTTGTCTGTAGTCAGCAGCTGCTTGATCTTTCCTGGCCAACCAAACCCGAAGTGATCACACAGGAACTATGTGGATTGCAATACTGTTTGGCCAGTAGCTTAAACATATTTCTAACTAGCTCTTACTCCTTAAATTAACCCATTTCTATTATTTTATTTTACCACTAGGCTCATGGTTTTTCAGTACTTGTGCATGGGTGTCTTACCCATTTGGTGGCTACATGGCTTCTCCTGACTCTGCCTACTCTTTCCTCCTATCTGCTTGGAATTCCCACTTTGCCCTATTTCTGTGCTTCAATAGGCTCAAAGAAGTTTCTTTATTAACCAAGGGTACTCACAGCAAAAAGAAAGGAATTCCACAACACCTTCCCTTTTCTGCCTAAATAAAAAGGAAGATTTTAACTTTAATAAAATAAAATTACAAAATTACAAGAATAAAAATATTGTAACTTTAATTGCAAGAATTACAATAGTAATAGCAGAAATTACAGTTATATCTACTTTATCTTTTATCATAACTAAGGTAAACTATAATTATGACTATTTATTCTTCAACTTCATCAAAGACTCCAGAAAGATATAATATCACCTAAGTAAACAGGTAGTGCATTGTAAACAACTTCCAAAACTCTAGAATTGACAGAAATCTCACTGCCTGGGCAGTCACTCAAAGTTCTTCTGTAACATTGGGGCATCCATCCTCAGCCTACAGGCCCATTGTGTCTGGCAGAATTTTCCATGAAGCAGGAAATTTCACAGACAGTTCCACCTAAATTGGCAGTTTTTCAATAATTTTCTTCTGTGTCCTGCAGAACGTCTGGCAGACTCTTTCGTGAAGCAGGAGCCCTGAAGGATTGTATCACCTTTAGGCAAGTTCAGCAGTCATTTTTCTGTGTGTCCTGCATGTCTAGTTCATACAGCGTACCATCAATCAGTCCAAACAAGAACAGCTTCTTGTCAAATGGCTAGTCAACTCCATAAGGAGACTCTTTGATGCCCACCATCCTGTGAAGTAGACTGGTGCTACCAAGAACAGATGTGTCTCATTTTCATGAAAAGTCCTAAGTTTTTAAAACATTTTAAATGCCATATTCTGTTCGTCTCTGAAAGAGTTGAATACCTAACTGAAATATATATCTCTATATATCTAGAAAACCTGACATGACTATAAGCTTGACTATCATAGATGACTATCTATTAACTTTTATTTCTTAATTATCATTACATTTTTAAATAAGCATCACAAACACAATACCTTAATCAAGAGCAGAAATATACATATAACAACATTTACCTTAAATTTGTATAAATAGACTAAAATCCATACCAATGAAAAGTTTGCATCTCTATATCATATACCTCTTTAAATGTAAACAAACATCTATAAAAAATCATTTAGGGAATTTGGGCACAGTTTCCTCCGAACTGCTTCCTGCTTTTTATTGGGCAAAGTAATTTTGGGTGTTCATGCTGACCCTTTGGGGGATCCTGGTTCATCAAACCACATTAGTCTGGAAGGAAGCCACAGGTTCTCATCTTCTATGGAAATAAAAGCAGAACTTCTTTTCAAAACAATACATCCTTAGACCCCAATTTTGAAGTCAATACATCTTTAAAATGCATATGCTGGTTTTGCTTAGCTGTCCACACACTGAAATGTCTCTCTGTACTTAGCTCCTTCATAGTAAAATAAAATTTAAAGAAAGCACAATAATATACATAATCTAGACTCTCTACACATTTTCCATATTTATGTAGTTTATTTTACTTTATTACTTTTTTCTATGGAGTTAATATTTATTTTATTATCTTTACCCCTTTAATCTATGACTGTCTATACTCTTTTATATTATAACTGTCTATAATCTTTTTCCTCTCTCTCTCAAGCCTATGCACATTTACCCAACACTAGACCTATTTGCAGGACCTTTCCACATGAATCTGTCTGTATTGCATATCTGCAATTATTTTTTGACCAGGAGTGGGTTTTTTTTATGATAAGTAGATGTGGCTAGGACCAATTCTGTGGTCCTGCCTTCTTGCTCTGCCCAATCCAACATGGCAGAGGCATGTTCACTGCTTCTGAGAGCCATGAACACAGCCACATTTTCAAGCACACAGAGGGTGGTGGGTCTATGTTGCCATAAAACAAGTTGTAGCACATTGCTTACAAACCCCATTTAAACGCTCTATAGCTGGATCTCTCAAAAGGCACAGAATCATTCATGCTGATGAACCAGGAAACCACCATTTTTAAAACTGTCTACTTTTCTGCTGCTGAAGTTAAATCAGGAAACCTCTCAAAGGACTCACCTCCCTGCTTCCTTCCAACAAACAGAACAAGAAGCTGCACTAAACTCTTGTCTTTTTGTGTGTCTAGAATTGATTTCCAAGCTTCCTCAAGGTTTTAAGTGGATTTAGTTGGCAAACATTGGTGTCAATTTGTTACCAGAAGCTGCTTGTTTATTTCCTGGCCAGCCAGACTCCTGAAATAATCATACAGAAATTTGTATCAATTGCAATACACTTTGGCCAATAGCTTAAGCATATTTCTAGCTAGCCCTTACATCTTAAATCAACCCATCTCTACTAATCTTTGCATTACCACGAAGTCATGCCCTACTGGCAAGTTTGTGACACTTGTCTCCTCTGGCAGCAGCTACATGGTGTCTTTCTGTCTCTGTCTACTCTCTCTCTCTCTCTCTCTCTCTTTCTCTCTCTCTCTCTCTCTCTCTCCATTTCTGTTCAAATTTCCTGCCTGGCTTTACTCTGTTAAGATATTGGCCAAAAGCAGTTTTATTCATTAACCAATAAAAGCAACACATATACAGAAGGACTTCCCACACCACTTTATCTGTTTGGAAGTCCTGCCTTGCCCTATTCTGTATTGCAATAGGCGCAAAGCAGCTTATTTATTAACCAATGGTATTCACGGCATACAGAGTAGAATCCCACATCATTTGTCTTGATTGAAAAGTATATTTTGATATAATGTATTTCAGGGGCAGATATATGACCACAACTACCACATCTCCTCTGTGAATGTGTGTGTGTGTGAGTGTGTGTGTGTGTG